AAGTTCCGAAAGTTGAACTTCTGGTTCGTATACTAGCGTGCATCCTGTCTTTCCCGGTACCGCGCGACAGTCGGTCATCTTTCAACTTTCAACCCGTTCGTCTCTTGAAGTGTATTTCAGCGGTTGCCTGACTCGTAGCGAAACGAAAGGTCATCGCGCAGCAGAAAGAGAATTCCGACAAACTGAATCGCATGCGGCATTAGAATCTTCGAAAGCGAATCGCCCTCATCTCGGAATTTCTTAACCCTCCGTCAACTATGCGGAATTTTGCTCCTACGTCTTTGATCTCCTCAGTACAAATTCTTTTATTGTATTGAATTTTAAAGTCTAACAAAATTCTTGCATACTTGTAAAAACTTCAACAATAAGTTTTTACTATTATTATTATATAAATCAAATTGTATTTTACACCCATGTAAAGTTGGTCCCCCAACTTTTGGGAAAATTAATTTTCTATTAATTAAGCTCATTCGATTGCTTATCGTTTGCATATTTGTTAATAACTTTTTAACTTAAAAAAATCCAATTAGAAAAGACAACACTTTCCGTCGTTTCGTGTTTGCTTCTCACGAATCTATTGCTTCTTCTTCTCATAACTCCTTTTTGGCTCCCTTATGCTTATATGTGACTAGATTACCATTGAATGTCTCAAAGCTCTGAAGATTTCGTCGCGGATTTAACTTCCCTTCGCAAATGCATCTTCCGAAAAATGAACGTGAATCAAAAGCAGGATTCGCATTCTCAAATTCTCTACCTTCTACAGCGACTTTCTTTCTTCAACCCCCAAGACTATAATATTCCAGCCGATTCTCTTCTGCCTTCTACACCCTAGCCTGTGTTCGATCGCAAATACGATACAATTTCGACGAAGAGAAGACGAGGATGGACTCGACCGGCGAATGGAGTTCGATATTCTGTCTGACGCAGTGTGGAAGTGAGCAGAAAATCGAGCCTGGTGACACGTGGGAAATCGTAGCAATCGATTTCATATATTCCTATTCCGGCGATCACTCGTGAATTCTGAGAGTCATTTTTTACGTCCACTTTTCCACACGCAAGATAGTAACTTTGCCAGCTTAATGGAGTTTGGGGCGAATTGTTTAAAACAAATCTTTTTAGCAAATAGAAATGTTGCATAAATATAACAGAGAACCATAATAGCCCTGGAGTTAAAATAAAGCAACAATGATCTTGACAGAACAAATACATTTAATTAAAAAATTAAATTTAATTAAATAATTTTAATTAAATAAATAATATATAATGTAATATTAAATAATAAGAATCATTTTGGACTACATGTGAAAACACAATCAATACGAGGTAGAAATGCTTAACTTATAATTATATAAAAAATGTATATATATATATACATGCATATATATACTACATTTATAATCATTCAAACTGCGCACCGAATTGGGTTTCCAAACTTATAAACGCAATTAAACTACTGTAATAATATCACGAATGAAATTAAATTGACAATTTTTAATACTTCGATGCTGAATTAAGAATCATATTAAAAACATGTATTGAAAAACTATAAATAAATTTATTGCGAAAAATAGGACGCTCGTACGGAATACAAGAGATCCGGGTTTGACTCTCAGCCGAGATAATATTCTTCGCAATTTTATTTACACAGTTTTTCAGCACATTAACATCTTTTTAATATGATGCTTGATTTAGAATCAAATTAAAAATTGCTTGTCAATTTAATTTAATTCGTGATATTATTACAGTAGTTTAATTATGTTTATAAGTCCGGAAACCCAATTCGGCGCGTAGTTCGAATGACTACATAAGGTACATATGCATGTACATATAGAGTGTGTGTGTGTATATATATATATATATGTGTGTATGTGTATATATAATTCACATTGAATTATTTAAGCATTAAAGATCTAACCTCGACTGCCATTTGTAATATTAAATGTCGACATTTTATTTTCTCTCTATTTTTATCTGAGGAAACATTTTCTTAACTTCAAATATTTGTAGATATCTACATTTTTAAACTTTTCTTATAAACATTTATTATTTTTCAAGAGTTTCATTATATCATTTATAGTTTTTATATTATATCAACTGGTTTAACTTCAGGAATATCATACATCGTATTAAAACTGACATCTGATTGCATTGAATTCCAAAGTTTCCAGAGCTTGCAAATCAAAAACTTATTTCACGTCGTGCGCGTACTTGCATCGCTATTGTCTTTTAGATTTTATGCACTCTCGTGTTTTATTCATGCCTTACACGGTCATGGCCGTGCGCGTCGACAAGATTGGATTTTATTTGGCGAATTGTCTGAGAGAAATTCGACGGTTCACGAAAGCAGATAGGGTAATCTTCGTGACATCCAGGAGAAATCAAGGTAGTCACTTCCAATATATTCCTCCGGCACACGATGATCACTCACACATTCCTGAAATCCTTTCCTCGCATGTGGGTCATGCGGTTCGCTGAATTCCAGCCTGCCAGAATTTCCTACTTCAATAATCGAGTTGCGCGACTGTACGGGACGGAAATGATAATAGAAATTGATATCGCATCTACCGGCGTCTGACGGCAAGAAAAAAGATCGACATCCGCAAAACGGAAAAACCATTTGTTTCGACAAATTTCAAGACACGATCGATGTTCGCAGTGTATCGATATGAGACAAGATTAATCACTTCCTGTATTCAGTCTTATTGTGAGGAATTTAATTGCGGAACATTATCAACAATAATCACTTGATTAAAAATATAAATACTCGTAAAAATTATGTAATTACATTCTAAATGTAAGGTAATTTCTAAATGTAAATTCTCTAAATATAAGATAATGGAAGATGCCATAAGAGGGAAGATGATTTGTTTATAGTCTTTTCATAGAACGCGCGTTTATTCTGACTGCATGTTTAGCCATCAGAAAGATTGCATGATATATCAATTTTTTCCAATAATGCAAAATATCAAAAGTTTCATTCGTTAATTTGTATAACTAAAAAAAAGTTTCTAAAATATATTTTTCGTAACTTAATTCAATAACATTAAGAAATTAAAAAATAAAAGCTTAAGAGCACCTTCCTTCAAATTTATCTTAAATCGAAAACCTTCTAAATCTAAAAACTTCTTCCTCATTAATCGTAGAAGTGATATCGATCGCAGTTTTCCGTAGCGGAAACATTTTTCGAACGAGAACTCACGTACGAACGAAAATTTATCTTATTTCTTTCGTTCTTAGTTCATAGTATTGTTCGCGAAATCCCCGTGTAGGTTTTTGGTGATTAGTCGTTCCGAGGCAAACAAGTGGCTGTCTTCGTATTTCCGTGAGCATCGTCGCGTCTGGTGGGGTGGAAATTTCCTTGCAGTTGGCATGCTAAACCGATATACAAGTCGCGGCCAAGTGGGTCGAGAATTTAAAAGTCGAATAAAGTTGCTAAACCCGACGGGTTCCGAAACTACATTTCGTAAGATGGTCATTTGTCGTCTTGTGCCATATAAGATAACACAAACGCTCGTCAGAGAAATTTCCGAACGGTCTTCGTACTTACTACACGCGAAGTGCAATTTTGGGCCTCGGTCGAGCTGCTCGCGAATAATTTTGCGAGAATCGTTACCGATTTTCTTCACTACCCTCGTTTTCTCGCATTCCCTATGTCCTGCCATCCCCCTTTGCACGAGGGCTTTGCGCCTCGGCCAAATGCGCCTGATTTCGCATGCAAAACCGCGAATATCGATGTCATGAATTTTCAGTCGGCTCCAAACCGAAGATCATTACGTTTCAACCCTCTCAACGAAGAGATCTACATGCCATTTCGCCCGAAATAACATGTTTTCAGGGCATCTGCAAAATCAATCGATGATCATCCACGCGTTTCTACAATTCATTCTGTCCGAAATACGCTTTCGCGTGTGAGAGAGGAAGAGATTTTCAGTTCCGTTCCGTTTCGCGCGTATATGTTACATGAAAGACCAATTTGTTGTACATATGCAAATCACTGAAACAATTAACGGCGAATTATGTCATAAAAGTATAATTTTCATGACACGGAATACCCTGAATACGTTGCACAACACAATTTTCGGAAATGATGACAGTTTGGAAAATTTATACAGTCAGTGGAGAGGCAATATCATAAAGTGTCGCGCGTCACGATGCACGTTTGAAACTTGGGCAAACTGCGATATGGACCGCCTGATTTATTTCATAAGCGGCAATACGAAGCGCGTGGCGGGCGCGACGTGCCATTGTATCGAGTTTTCAAACGAAGAAACTTGCCGCTGGTGGTAGTTCGATATAACGGCACGAGAAGAACGGCGTTCGGTGAACGCGCGTTGGCGCAAGAAGACCGGGGCACAAAGGAAAATGAATAATAGAAGGTGGAGCAGAGCATGTAGGACGCATATCGAGCGATAACAGCCGCCAACAGTGAGAGAAGCTTATCGTTTTGAAAGTAAAACAGCCCGCGCTGAATATTGAAGGGAATTTGAATCTCATTTGAATACATCAGCATGATTGGTAAATTATTTTCTCCTGTGTAAAGTTTATATACACGACGGTGTCTAGGAACAACGCGCGAACAGCACCAGCATCGTCTTGTATCAGTCCCTGTTAACACCAAGAGGCGCCGAAATCAACTGCCACGGCTTTACACAAGTGCACTTTACGTCATCGATCTTGCGAGCTAGCGAATAAAATGGATACTTTGCCAGAATTTATTTAGGTAGTATTAAGAAAAACTACAATATAATACTATACACTTAAGGAAATGCTTAAGGAAATGCCATCTTCAATAAAAACTTTATTTTCTATTTTTCCCAATTGTCAAATTATTTTAATATCGAAGTATTTACGTAAAAGAAATTCTATGATTTATAAAAATATTACTTTACATCATATTTATAAAGATATCTCCTACAAGAAGAAACGGATATTTTCTACTTGCGATACATTGGCGATTATTTTCTTCGAAGGAACATAATTTTGTTATTCATTTATTCCAGAGACAGCGATGCGAGGAGTTAACGCCCTTTCACAAGATCATTTGATGAGACAGGCCGAGACTTCGAAAGGGTGAGCATCGACGCATGTACCCCCATCTCTCTCACACACGCACGAGACATAGAAAGCACGTAAGTTTAATATCTTCGTGTACCAAAGCGCACTAACGCGTCGGAAGACTCCGGCAAGGGCGGAAGTAGAGGAGGGAAGCGAGGAGGGCCAAGATTATTGCTTCAATATTGCCCGATGTCAGGTATCGTAGTTACGTCTACGTATCCGCCCCAAAACTACCCTACGGCACCCTCCCTGTCCACGATGCTCAGTAGTAGTACGTGCTAGTGCCACGTATACACGTGCACGTAAGCCGACGATAGTTGCACGTGTGCACCCTCGGCGACGTTGCGCCGTTATTAAACTATCTCTTACCAGTTGTATCCCCATAAGCTCTGGCACCCTTCATCCAATTGCCTCCTATCTGGCATACGAAACGGTAGTTGCTGTTTATAATTCGGAGATCGAACGGATAGATATTAAAGATCTATTTTCGGAATTATCGGAAAATTGATTATTACAACATTTTAAATTTCAACCTTTTTATCCAAAATCTTAATTACATTTTGATATAAGTGATTTGAAAAATTAACGACGCGATATTATGACTTTGCGCATTTTATTATTAATATAATGTAATTTATAGAATATAAAATCTCTAATTTATAAACTGAATCTAAATTGTAAGCTTATACTCTGAATTATAGATTGAGACTAATGAAATTTATTATAGATAGAGAATAATAAAATTTATTCGTTTACAATTTCTGAAAAGATATGACTAGAGCTAAATTGTACTTAAATTATAAGAATTTTCTTTAATCTGTTCTCAAATTTATTAAACGCAATAAATTTATGTCCATATGTATATATATATATATATATAAAGTTCAACGACAGTTTTCTTAATTATTAGAGAGACAAATAATAGCCTAGTTTACGAACAAATATAATGCATTGGCCGTGTAGAAACTGCAGTCGTGGAGATAAAGCTTCAACTTCATGGAAACAGCTTTGCTCTTGAAATATTGTCTACGAAGAGAAACAAGAGAGCTTCGCATACCGAAAGAATTACGTATGCATGTCTCGTGAATTTCTGGATCACAACAGAATTCCTTTATTCAAAAAACAAATATAGTGCCGTACATCTTGTGCGGTGGAACAAACAGTAGCGCGTCCATGAAATTGGGATGCATCTACTATGTTAACATCTGCGACAGTTCCAAAACGTTTAACCTTTTTATAAGAATGTAAGCAAGGTTTAATAAATAGACTCGTGGAAGAATGACATGTATGAATATTTAAAATTCATATAGGAAAAGAAAAATTGCTTGATATCTGATTACCTCCTTTATATATATATATATATATCATATTGAATCAATTATACAGGAATCAGAAATGTTTAAAAAATATACAATATATAGAAGTGTACTTTAATATATTTTTCAAATATTATAATATTGATAACTTATTATGTAAATACGATATTTCATGCAACTTTAATATATTAAAAAACTCTAGATAAAGAAAAATCTTGATAAAGAATAAGTTGTGTTTATAATTGAATTGTTATATGACTTCTTCCTTTATGACGGAAAAAGGCTCGGAAATTAGATGCATTCAATTGCTGCTCGCGCTTTCTTTTCGCGAATTCCAATCACCGTACAAGTACGTCACTGAAGGGAATCATGTTTGATCAATCGGCATTCACGGAAATGCGTTGATTTAGCAATCAAAACGGAACAAGGGAAGGAGAAAGACCGATTGCGCGGTCAAGAGACGAGCGAGGAGAGAGACGGAGAGAGGGAATACCCCACATACGCCGTCAGTAATTACAACGGCTACAACGGAATCATTTGTTTGTGCATTGTTGCCGCAAAGCATTGTTGCACAGTGAAATGTTCCACCATCAATGTCCATCGTACACACAGCTACATCCTTCTGCCCTCTTCCAACATGTACGGTCCTTGCGGACTCAAACGCATTGTGTATACTCTCTCGATTCGGCCTGCCGATGCATCTATACACACACATATACATGCACATACGTAATAAACGCGCGCCTGCGTGAATTGTATGTCGACAAACGTTGCATCTTTCAATCTCACGCGGAACCAACTGTTACGTTGCGTGCATACGCTTTCGGAAATGAAACACGTGAAAAGCTGACCGATTCTGTAAGTAGGTATGTCGCATTGTGCACAAACAAAACGAGATGGACGCAACATCGGAATGGATGCACACACCGGATACTGTGCACCGGGACGAATTGATGTTTACAGAAACAGGCGACGAGTCTTCTCTTGTTATGAAAACGTGACGCATTTGATAATATTTAGATATAAACATAATTACATTGCAACTTCGTCCATGCTTGGGAATTTATAATTTCAATGAATTTCTCTTATATTATTTATCATATTATTTATCATATCATTTTATCCTACATTATTTTATGCTAATACTGATACGTTTATAATTTGTTTTAATTACAATAATACGAGGAAATCCCATGTCTCCCTATATAATATTGATACTTTAACATGAACAAAAGTGTGCATTATATTAAGTATTTATCTTTTTATCTCTCTTTAATATCTTATATGTATACAATGTATATCTTGTTAGTCAGAGACATTACAATGTATATATATATAATAATATTAAGATATATTAACTGATATTAACTGGTATCAATGTGATATACGATCTGATATCGAACAGACAGTTTTGAACAAGAGTGCTATGTTTTATTTTGTTAAAATAACACGGAATAGGAAATAAATACATTTTTCAAGTTGAATTATACTGTGACAATTTTGTGCGATTTATATTTATCAACACCATTTACTCTGGATCAGTATAGTTATATGAAAAATATATATATTTATCTTCTGTGGCAAAACATCGAGCGCATTTTTAGTTGTTGCGTTGATGAAGCAAACACATATATTTAAACTAGCCAGCTCCTCGCGCTGATATTAATTCCGCTTCCACTACAGTATTGTACTACAGTATCCATATTGCGGTTTCACTGCTGCTAATAACGTCGCTTCCAACGAGTCACTCGTTATTTTTCTGTCAAATGCGAATTCCAACAAGGCATATTAATTATCGAAGATGCTACCGCAGGCAAAGCAATTTCCCCCTCTTGGCGCGATCCCGACGTCGGTACTGCCAGAAACGCGAATACGTATTGGCTGCGGACTATATCGGCCGCACGTCGAATATCCGATATCATCCAATATTTCATAATGGATATCCAATATTTACGATAGTGGACAGACGCCTGCGGATGTGCGATGTAAAAAACGATAGGAAGGAGAAACGATAGAAAGAGAGAAAAGCGGAGTAGAAATGTGAAAGCGCGAGAGCAAAAGGGAAGCAAGTGTGAGTGTTAGAGCGGAGGAGATGAGAGAGGAGGTCAAAAGTTAGAAGAGGAGAAAAAGGCTCGGATTGATTTCTAGTGAATTTTCGATTGCGATAGCAGTAAGAGAGCTCGTTTACAAGAATCGCTTCATATTCAGCATAATCGAAATCTGCGGTAATTACGCCACGAATGTCCGACATGATTGGAATTATATACATCGCGCTTCTAATTTCGGAAGTATACACATTCTACTCAATACCTCGGCGCACGTTAATTACATAATCGTAAATATTTGATACGTTCGATTAGTTGATGAACGGAGATGGTATAAGTGAATGACTAAATATTCGAATACACGTGCAAGTACGCCCAATGACCATACAAACGTACGCTTTCAGTATATGATAGGACAGACGTATCAATATTATCTATCGACACTTATATATATATATATATATCAAAGGATAGATTTAATAGAGAATCTGGGATATCGAAATCTATTTTTAAAATTCTGTAATTAATCTGACGCTAAAGTGTACACATTGAATAAGGCAATTACAAATTAAATATGGTAATAATAAGCAAGAGATATATAGATAATATGGTATAACATGGTGTAGAAATTAGGTATATTGCACTTTGAGCAACGCATATCAGCTATGAAAGGTTCAAACGAATAAAGTGGATGGATCATTACCTAATAAAACGAAGTTGTGTTGCATTTGTGTGTATAAGTGTGGCTCGTATACTTATACACAGTAAAACAGGATGTATATAATAAGAAAGATATATAAATATGCGTGTCTATATGATATCAATAATAAATCAAAGTTTAAATATCTAAGTAGAAATTATGACACCAATGACGTCAAAATAGCTCCAAAATGATTATTAAATGTCATTTTTCAATTACTCACATCATTCATTTTGAAGTCATTTTGGCGTTATCGTTACCTGTTGTTCTGCTTGAACAGTTCTCTAAGATAAATGACGGTGTGTTTTAATTTTTAAAAACAAGCCATGCAAATTTTATTACAAATTGTTGTTTAACCATGAAAAATTTTCCGAATGAATTTTCAAAATTATATATTATTCTTATTAGAATGCGGCATAAAATCGTGCAATTCAAGCTGACGCACTTTGTCTGCCAGTGCTTGCTTGAAAACGACGTTTCTATAATCCCAAGAGAAAGCATTCCGAGAGAGATGGTATTGTTCGCAAACCTCCGCATAGAATTCGAGACGAATGAAGGGCAGGGAGCACCCCTTTCTCTAGCACCTTGCACAAACAGATTCGCGTAACCTCAAGTAAGGTCCGGTACATGCTCTTCCCTCCTACATCATAAAATTACGAAATTCTGCTTGCAAGTAGAGCCACGCATTGTGAAAGATATTTAATGTCTAGAACTGGATCATTTTACACCTCATTTTATTACGAAATGTGTAAGACATAAATCTAATTCCTCATTAAGAAAAAAATTATTCATTTAATAATTAATTAATCATTCATTTAATAACTAAATTAATTGTTTATTTGATTAAATTAATTTAGTTGTCTTTATTTCTTTCGTTGAAGACTGTATTGTGTGTATTTAAGTCAAATATATATATTAGGTGTTGGAATTAATTCGTAGCGTTTTACAAGTGATGGGAAGTACTTTCATTAATGTATTTTTTAATGCTCATGTGAAATAAATAACATTCTTTC